ACACCATAATCACTTTGCTGCTAATGCTGTTGAATAAAAACTATAAGAGTCCATTGTTTTAGAATAAGCTCCTGCCCTGGGCCCCAACCAACCAGACTAAAAATCAAAATGGAATCACTCATGCTAAAGTTCCAAGTCACCAAGGTAAAATTAAGCAGATTATGTGACCTTCTGAGAAATCAGAAGGCATGTAGAGACCTAAGAACCAACTTTCCCAAACAGACCAGTTTCAATTGTCATGATAACGATGTTCCTTCGGGCTTCATGCTTAACTGAGAAAAAGGTAACCAGAAGTAACCTAATGTTAACCAGTTATTTTCCGGTACCTGGCTTATGAGGAAAGTAACTTAGAGTAGACTAAACCTCTCTTTTTTTGTGTGTTCTGCTTTCTTTAGCAGTTTGTTGTTGTTGTTGTTAATAAAACCAGCCTTCTCTGCTCAGCTCATTGGAACACTTACTCTATTCTACTGAATCCAGTGTTGCTCAATTCTAGAATCAAAAATAAAGCCAGTTAAGATTTTTAAGCTAAACTGTTATGGTGTTGCCCTTTGACAGTGTTTTTCCTGCCCGTCTTGTGTTCTCCAGCTGGGATTGTGAGAGTGAGACTGGCAAAGCATAGAGAAAAATGGCAGGAAGCTTCCAGCACATGCATCATGTTTGCTCATGGAGGCTCTGGAAATGAGAAACCCAAACAGATGGTTAGATTTGGTTATGCACCTCTTTAGGCTAACAAAAGGGAAAGGGGTTAGGGCTTCTGGGGGAAGAGGCAAGTTAAGGGACAGTGACCAAGAAAAGCACAGTGAGCGAGGGAGGATGGAATGAGGCTGCTTGTGTAGATTTAGGTTGAAACTTCTCCACTGATCAGCTTTGTTATGAGTCCTCCTCTTCCTGGTGCTGAAGTGGAGGTAATTCTATGAAAGGAAATTTCCTTTTCGAAAGGAAATCTTACACCCTGCTTTTAGAACTTTTACTTAGTTTACTGATTCTCAGTAGCCTTTGGCTCAAAAGAATTCCTCTGCCTAACTGGCGCGTTATGGAGTGGCACGTTCTGGCTCCCGGAGGATGGTGTGCACTGGATATGGACAACTGTAATCATCCTTTCCCTTTCCTCCCAGAGCACTAATTGGATTTTATATTTTGTTTGGAGTACCAGAAACATCCTTTTTGCTTTTTATATTGTCAAATTATAAAATACAAGCAGTTGCCACAAGGCAGTGACAACTTTTCTCAGTACTAAAAAAGTCCATGTTACCCCAAAGTGTGTTTTCACATTACTGTTAACCGTAAAGTCACTGGTAATGACTTCTGAGTCACTGAGTTCTTCATAGTTTGCATAAATGAAGACTTTTTCTGCTGCACTTGCTAGTAAAATGCCCAAGATAATTTAAAATTCTTTGAAGAATTGTTTCCAACCAAAAACTGTATTTCAGTAGCTGCAAAATGTTAACCAAAAATGCCCTATAAACCGAATGCGTTGGCTCATGCCTATAATCACAGTATTCAGGAGGGTGAGGCAGGAGAATAGAGAGTTTGAGGCCAGGATATGATACAGAGCAAGACTGCATCTCAAAAAAAAGAGGCCCTATATTGTACCTATAATCTATATTAATATATGTGCTGCCAAACCGAGCACCCTATATTCTATATTAAAGCAGAAATGGGCATATTGAATTCTTGCTTGCCTTTATTTCATAAATATCTCTTGAAGTTTTATTTCTTAAAACTATTACATTTGGGAGGAATGATTGGACTTGCTTGGGTTCTTCAACCACAGACTGGTTGAAAAACCCAAGCTGTTTTCTTAAACTGCTATATTGCAAAACAATCCAGATACCATATGGTTCACCACTATACATGTGTATTTCAGTAACTTTAGTATATTTAGGGTTGTGCGTCACCACAGTCTAACTTTAAAATGTTTGCATCATGCCCCAAAGAAACCCAGTGTCCAAGTCACTCTCTCACCAACAACCCTGAGCACCCACTGCCTCCATCTCTATAGGCACCTATTCTGGATATTTGGTGTAAATGGAATTAAGTATATGTGCTACCACAACAGGTTACCACCCAAAGCAGTGGAGACTTTTATTCTCACAGTTCTGGATGCCAGAAATCCGAAATCAAAGGATCATTCATGTTTTCCTTCTTGAGGTCTCCAAGGCCGAGTCTGTGCCCTAGCCAGTGATGGTGAACCTTCCAGAGCTTTCAATGATACAAGTAGCCAGTGCGGCATGAGAGCCATAGGTTCACCATCTCTGCTACCCTCTTGTGGTTGCCGATAATCCTTGGCATCCCACAGTTTACCAAGCCTTGCTCCCTTCTCTGCATCTGACCTCAAGTGGTGGTCTCCAATGTGTGTCTTCACAAGGCCCTCCGAGGAGGAAGCCAGTCAGTGGATTCCAATCCTCCAGTGTAATCTCTACCAATTGCAAGAACCCTTTTTCCAAGTAGGGCCATGTTTTAAGCTTCTTTTGCACATGAATTTTTGGGAGACACTTATTCAATTTAAGACAGTGGCCTTTTGCACTTGGTTTTTTTCACTTAATGTAATTTGTCAGGGTTTGCCCACATCGTGGTTTCATTCTTCATTAGGGACTTCATTCTTCTTCTTGTGGCGTTGGGGAATGAACCCAGGGCCTCATCCATGGTGGGCAAGTGCTCTTACACTGAGCTACACCCCTGGCCAGGACTCCATCCTTTTTTATGGCAGAATAATGCTCCATTGTGTGTGTGTGTGTGTGTGTGTGTGTGTGTATCTGTATCAATCAAGAATTTGTCATCCCCTCATTTGATGAGCATTTGGGTTGTTTCTACATTTTAGCTTTTGTGAATAATACTGCTGTGAAAAATTGTGTACAAGTTTTTATGTGGACACATGCTTTCATTGCTCTTGAGTTAGAGTAGTATAATTTAAATCTGTCAAGTATGATATGCCACTTTGTGGAGTTGGCTAGTAGTTATTGAAAATTTAACATCCATTTTGTTAGAATGAATTCTGATTCACTTTCTGCCTCTTGAATTTGCTTTATATTTCAGTTATGGGAAATTATGTTTTGTGGAAATAAGCTTTCATTCTTTTATTTATTTTATGGAAATCTATCAGCACTAGAAAGAAAGCTGTCTTGTCTTTCATTTGCTGGTTTATGCCCTCTTTGTTATAAGTAAATAGAGGCATTTAACTTTTCTAGCTATTTACAAAGCATTTTCCCTTTGTGAAATCATATAACCCTCCTTGCAATCCTGTGAGATCTGCACAGGTTGCTGTTTTCTGGCTGTTAAATATTCACTTTTTTGATTAATGCATGTTTGCAATACATAATAAATACACACATCATGAGGAGTTGGTACATGTGCATATCACATCATATCCTTTTTACTTCCTCTTTCCTTCCCCTCTCCCTCCATCTCTAGATCCACTTCCTATCTGTAAAAGGACTACCTCCTTGCTTCCTATTCTCTAACTTTTATTTTGCTCTTTAAAATATTTATAATTTAGGTTTCTCATAGAAGAGAAACCATGTGATATTTAGCCTTTTGTGTCTGGTTTATTTTACTTAGCATTATGGTCTCAAGGCTGGCAGCTAGTTATGATCTAATTGATTTTCTTTTAAAAGAGCAGTTGGGGCCAGGGATTAAGCTTAGTGGTTCTGGAGCCTGCCTCATAAGCACAAGAACCTGTGTTCAATCCCCGGTACCAAAAAAAAAAATAAAAAGAGCAGTTGGTACTTAGCTGCAGCCCAAGACAATGTCCTTTGTCTCTCAGTACCACAACACCTCTTTTTTTTTTTTTTTTTTTTGAGACAGGGTTTTACTATGTAGTTCAGGCTGGTCTTGAACTCACTATGTAACCCAGGCTAGCCTTGAATTCACATGATCCTCCTGCCTCAGCCTCCTGAGTGCTGGGGATTAGAGGCATGCATCACCATACCTGTCTGCATCTGTTGTTTGACAGCAGTCTCTTTCAGGTGTTGAGAAGGTGTAGTAGCCTTCAAAGAAAGCTTAGAAGCCTAAGCCAGTATTCTCAAATGGTAGCGTGTATGAGAAGCCAGGTAGAGCGTGCATGCCTGTAATCCCAGCAATGGGGAGGCTGAGGCAGGAAGTTCAGGAGTTCAAGACCATCTTGGGCTGCATAGTGAGACCCTGTTTTAAAAAAAAGACATGTGAGTCATTGTCAAGGTTCAGATTGCTGGTCCCACTGTAGGTTTCTCACTAAGTAGGTCTGGGAGAGGATCAGAGGTTTTGTATTTCTGCCAAGTTCTGAGTGATTGTAATGCTGCTGCTACTCCCGGACCCGCACTTGGAGAGTGGAAGCCTAGCCATCTCACTGTGTGTGTCCCTGGGTATTGTTCACCAAGAGCCTCTCAAACTTTAGCATGTGTGTGCATCCATTGGGGATGCCTTAGCAGCACTAGGGAGGCTTCCAAGGTTTCCCGACTGGCTCTGAGGAGGTGTCCTGCAACTTCGAACAGAGAAGCCATGTACTGCCCTCTGCCTAGATAGCTGTTTATTTTTGTACAACTATAATAAGTGTTGACAGCTTTAAACAGATGAATAAGCTGTGTCCTGGAATGCGAAGTGGACGGACGCTGTGCAAGTTGCATGGCTATTCAGGGAAACAAAGCCAGAGGCCAGAATGGACCAAATTAGACCTAAAGAGTACATGGCTCAGGCTTTTAAGTCTTACTTTGGAGTAAATTAAAATTTTCTAGTGTGATCTTGTAAGTAAATGCTTCCAGGTTCTAAAATGTGTGTTTCACAGGTCCCATGATTGAAACAGTATTTTCTCATAGGAATTCCAAATTTGTTCTTCTCAGTTAATGGATTCATTTTGTGTTTTTCTTTTTTTCTCAGCTTCTTGGCAAATTAATGAGGAACTGATTGTATCAATGTTAGGGCCTTATCGTTCTGGATATTTTATACTTGTTACCTAGAAGAATTACTGTTTTATGAAAACAAAATAAACAACCAGTAGAACTAATTTTTCATTTCTTCCTTGGCAGATCACTTACAACCTTGGGGCTGGTTATATCCTCACTGGCTGACCAGGCGGCTGGCAAGGGTAAAAACAAATTTGTGCCTTACAGAGATTCAGTCCTCACTTGGCTCCTTAAGGTAATTCATTGCTCTGGCATCCTATTCCAACTAGAAATTGTATATTCCAGATGAGGCAGCTAAAAGGTGTGTCAGAGCTGACCAAATACACACAGAGAGCTATCCTGATATTACTGTTGTCCTAATTCCTGGGAATGCAGAGAAACACATCCTGTTGCTTTTTGTTCCATAATAATGTTGTATTACAGGTATTATTCATTGTTGTGAATAAGTAAGGCCACATTTTATCTTGTCATAAAATAATCTGTGAAATGCAGACACATTTCCATGTAGCATTTTCTTCTTCAAGAATGTCACACATGCATATTATTTGCTGCTTTCATCATATGTGTTGTACCTGAAGCAGGCTTCCCTTCGATGCTATTTGAAATGCTTTACAGGACAATCTGGGTGGCAACAGCCAGACTTCTATGATAGCTACCATTAGCCCTGCTGCAGACAACTATGAGGAGACCCTCTCCACATTAAGATACGCAGATCGAGCCAAGAGAATTGTGAACCATGCCGTTGTGAACGAAGACCCCAATGCCAAAGTCATCCGAGAACTTCGGGAGGAAGTAGAGAAGCTGAAGGAGCAGCTCTCACAGGCTGAGGTAAGATCACCCTGGTGCTCCCTGACTTGGGTACCTGACTAATGAGGACATGCTTGCTCACAGTTCTGGGCCATCTCCATGTGATTCAGCATTTCAGTGTTTATCGGCATCAGCTTTGTGTTAATAAGCTTTATGAAGACCAACGTGAGTAATACAAGACTTCTGTCCTAGCAACTTGCAGTCAAGAAGAGATAATTCCTGCTAGTGCCTAATTCTTTGCTTCAGTAAAGCAGTTAGCCCTGGTGAAGTCCTAAGAACTAAATGTATTGTTTTTATTTTTATTTATTTACACTGTAGACTATTTCCACCTGGCATTGTAACTTTTATCTCCTTATTAAGTCATGGAGATAGCATGATAATGACTTTTTTTTTTTTTTTTTTGGTACCGGGGATTGAACTCGGGTCCTTGTGCTTGTGAGGCAGGTGGCAGAACCACTGAGCTAAATCCCCAGCTCATGATAATGGATAAACATTAGAAGTAATTCAGCAACCATCTTTTATGTTTGCATTTACATCAGCCTTTAGCAGGTAACAAAAGCAATATTTTTGCCTTGTTACCATCTGTCCTTGGCTTTCTCCAAACTTTAATAACCTTATACTTTTCCAAGTATCTGTTGTGTTTTGCAGATTGCTGAGTGAAGTACTGTCTCATTTGAAATAGGTATAAGGACCGAGATTGAGGCCAGGTATCTTAGCTAAAGTCACATGTTTCCTCATGTCAGGACTTGGCTGTGACCTGTTATGGTTTAAATTTGAAGTGCCCCTCAAAGACTCATGTATTGAGGATTTGATACCCAATGAAGCAATGTTCAGAGGAAGGGCCTAGAGAGGTGACTGAATCATGAGGGCATTAACCTTTCCAAAATGGACTGTTAGAAGGTGGGGCGTGGTTGGAGGAAGTGAGTTGCTGGAGGTGCTGGTTCCTCTGTATATCTGGTCCCCTGCCTCTTCCTCTCTGGCCCTCCCTTGCCGTCTGGTAAGCAGCTTTTCTCCTCCATGCCCTTCTGCCATGATGTTTCTGCCTTGGAGCTAGTGACTATGGCCTGAACCATCTAAAACCATGAGCCCAAATAAACCTTTGCTTTTTTAAGTTATATATGTCAGATTCTTTGTCCCAGCAATGACTAATATAGGAACTTAAATTTCAATGCTCACATTTATTCATACCATTCTTTCCTGATTCCACTTGGGGGGAGGGCAGGTAATATCTATTATTTATTGAGCACTTATATGCCAGGCACTCTTTAAATACTCTTTTATCTATCAACATTATTTAATCATAGTCAATGCTCAAAAAATGTTGACTAGTATATGTTTTATTATGAAGCCTAATTGCTTTATTGATGCCAAAAAGAGTTAGCAAAATATCAGAAGAATCAAAATGCTGTAAGATTTGAGAAAAGTCATGATCCTAGGAAGAAAGTAAAATGGTTCTGGAATTTGTTGATAGGTAAATTACTTCCTTCCTCTTGTTTCTGAATTTTCATGTTGACTGTGACCATAGTATCTAGGCCAGAAGGCCAGAGCAGTACATGGCCAAAGGAAAGAGAAAAAAAGCCACATGGGTCCACGTAGAACTTCCACGTGTGTCCCCCTGTATCCAGCGCTAAATGTCACTCAAGCTCTCGTAATGCCAAGAGACCCAGGCATACTAAGCAAGCTTTAGATCATCACCATTCCAACTAAGCTCCCTCTGTCTCATTCATAGGGCTTTACTCTGTAGCAGCTCATGAACCATAGGATATCAAAGCAAATCTTTGCCAAGTTAAACCCCCGCTTCCTGAATTTTCAATCTGTAAATGTGTATATTCAGACTCCTTACTTATTCTTACTGCACAAATTCAAAGGGAAACTACTGCCCTTTTAACCAGATGTCCTGCTTCAAGTGAATAATAATTACGCTAAATCTGTTGCCATCCATGGAGAAAAGTAGTATAAAGAGCCCAGATTCAAATTTTAAAATAAACGAGAAGAATATTTACCTTTCCTGGTAGGTTAATATAGCTGTGTGTTTATGGCGGTACGTTTTGGTATCTGACTTATTGAAAAAGAAATCTGCAGAAGTAACTTTTTTTCCTACTTTGATATTTCAGAGATGAATTTTAGCCATCTTTAGACCTTTAAATGTGAAATTTAATGATGGTGAATAAAATGACTGTGCCACAGCTTGCCTCATTTTCATTTAGGGCACTGGTATTTTCTCCTTGAAGCAGGAGCCGCTATGTGATCCTACATTTCATTGATTAGTAGAGGTTTAAGACCCATCTCAACAGTGTTTGACTTAATTGCTTCCAAAAGACTCCTGATACCTGCCTGTGAATGACATAAGGATCCCATTGTATACGTCTCATACGTAATGCTGGGAAATCTTGAAGTCGGATATCTCTGGTTTTATTTTCAAGGCCATGAAAGCCCCTGAACTGAAGGAGAAGCTTGAAGAGTCTGAAAAGCTGATAAAAGAACTAACAGTGACATGGGAAGAGAAGCTGAGGAAAACAGAAGAGATTGCACAGGTAGCCTAATAATTTAGACCTAAAATACTTGGATCCTTTTCCATTTGTTGTCTTTCCTGTACAGCCACCTGCCATCCTTCTAAAGTCTCAAGGGTCTCCATCTGCTGAACCAGAGATTGCAGAGATAGTTTTAGACATCAATGTCATGTCTTCTACCAGTTTACAATTTGATCCATAATATTTGTTAGTGCTACATTTGAGTAGGCAAGATGACAAATCCCTTTCATACTTCCTGCTCTTCTCGCTGCAGCAAAAGCCTGATTTGTGACTTTGAGGTCCCCTGGGTCACATCCTGGGATGGTTGTCTTTATATGTCCACTTCGTGTCCCTGTAGCACCCTCACAAGATGTCATGCACGGCAAGCTCTCAGTGAACTTTGTTGAGCTGCGTAGAAGGTGCCATTTCATTGGCATCGTCCCCAGAATCAGTGACTAACTTTTTCCATGGATGCATCTTCTGAATAGAGCACAAATAGAGGCCCCTGCTTCTGTCTGTTTCTGTGCCCAGGAGAGACAACGCCAACTGGAGAGCATGGGGATTTCCCTGGAGACGTCTGGCATCAAGGTGGGGGATGACAAGTGCTACTTAGTCAACCTGAATGCAGACCCTGCTCTCAATGAACTTCTGGTTTATTATTTGAAGGTGAGAATATACATAAACAGGTACATCCCGTCCTAAATTGTTCGTGTTCAATTCCCAGTAGAGCCTGGATGCCTATCTCCATGATTGTGCTTTTTGCATCCAGCTTGACCCTCATTAAAAGTAAGTTGATGGATAGTACAGTCCCGTCACCATTACCATTGAGAACAAAAAAACAGCTCTGTTGTTCCACCTGGGACTGGGAAGTTGGGGGCAACTCCCTGTGAGTGAAGGCTTCAGAGAGGCAGGAGCAGGCAACTGCACATGTCCAGGCATTCCCTATGTATAGGAGAAGATTTCAGGAGTGGGGTGACAAGGATTCTGAGAATATCTGGGTCCAGCCACAAAGATCCTGAATAGCCTTGGACGTCCTTAGTACACTTCTGCATAATTCTAAGATCTTAAGATCAGCATGAGCCTAAAGAGGCCTTTGTGCTGGCCATGGTGCCACAGCTGTAATCCTAGTACTCTGAGAGGCTGAGGTAGGAGAATCATAAGTTTGAACCTAGCCTGGGCAACTTAATGACTTAGGGAGAACTTGTCTCAAAATTTGAAAATAAAAAGGGGAATCAGGGCCGGCTGAGAAGGCTTCTGTGGTACACTGGATAGCAGTGTTGTCATCAGTGACGAGATTGCCAGTAATTGCAGTCTTTTATGTGTCTGAGGTTCAGAGGACTTCAGTCACACTAATCTATACATCGTGTCACTCATAGCCTTCAGTACTCTTAATATTGGCATTAAAAAATACAACTATTTTTAACATTTTAAAAGCACATGTTAAGGCCTGGGACAGCTCACTGGTAGCATACATGCTTAGCATATTCAAGGTCCTGGGTTCAATCCCTAGCACAAAACAACAACAACAACAACAACAAAGTTATATACATTTGGTATGACTTTCCATGAAACTGCTTTTCAGTGGTTCTTAAATTTATCTAGCTGCTAATTCAGAAAACCCCTAACAGAATCCTGCCAAGTAGGTCAAATACATAATACTTGACCTGATTCCCTCCACCCCCAGAAAAGAAAAGAAAACTGAGGCTCAGAGGGAGAAATGACTTGCTCATGGGCACCTAAATTAGAAGTACTTAAGTCAGAATTGAGACTCAAGATATTCAGCTTTCAAGTCTTAATTTGTTTTAAGACAATATGTAATCGCTATTGACCAGGGCTCTAGTTTTTTCGGTTTTCTTTTATAGTGTTCAGAGACTTTTTAAAAAATTAGTGTGTTTAAGTTAAACATTTGGCTTCTGATGTTCCAGATATCTAGCAAGACTCATTAAATAATAGTCATGTTTTTCTTGCTGGGTTGTTCACATTGATTGGGATAAATTTTAGTTGAGTTGCTAATAAGTGTGGGTTTTTCTCTCTTCAATCATCTTATTACTAGGATCACACCAGGGTGGGTGCAGACACCTCCCAGGATATACAACTGTTTGGAATAGGGATTCAGCCTGAGCACTGTGAGATCAACATCGCAGGTGATGGAGACATCACTCTTACGCCTAAAGAAAATGCAAGGTGAAAGAAGCTCCCTGTGTCTTGCGTGCCCTGTTTACATGAGGAAAAGGCTGCCTCTTTGTGTTTGCCTCAGTTATATCAAAGTTGAGGATACACTGGGTCTGCAGGAAGAATTGCTTTCTGTTTGTAAAGAGTAGTACAGCAACCCTAGAGGGCACTCGCTCCATTATTATCAATAAAACCTAAATCACCAGAGTTGAAATATTACTATGAAGGAGACGTTGTTTTCATAGTATCTGAGCTTTAATGTCCTATAAAGATTCAGGACTCAGATAATAAAATTGTATGGAAAAAGTGACTTATTAAATAAACTAAAACTGAAAATCATATCCATTGTTTTTCATCAGACTTCACCTAATTTTTAAATTATCAGTAAAAATTTTAAATGAGATATTCCTTTCATACTTATATTTTTGGTTTTCTTTTTTTTGTTGTTCATTTTTGCTTGGGAGGGTTGGGTTTTTGGTGTTTTTCCAAATGTGGACAAAGTATCTCACCAGGAATGTTTTCCATTGCCATCAGAAGCACATCATGTCGGACTGTCTCTGCGTGAGGCACGGTGGTGGCTCTTGGTCGTGGAGCATGTGTTCAGTTGGGGTTACAAATTCTGTTGTTAGTTCTTGAGCTGTTACTTGGAGTACGTCTATTAGGAGAAACTCCCCTCAGTGATCTCTTTGTGCACCCGGGCTGGATTTGTGTTCCTATTGGTTCCCCTGATGTCCTCCCTGTGCCCTCCAGGTCCTGTGTGAACGGCACTCTGGTGTGCAGTGCCACTCAGCTGTGGCACGGCGATCGAATCCTATGGGGAAATAACCACTTTTTTAGGTAATGCCTTCGTGTTCGCTAATATTTTCCTATACGGTTTTTTTCCTGTTACCTATTAAAGTATAAAGCAATTTGATTGTCTCTCTTGGTGGAAAAAACTCACAGAATTAATTTACCTAAGAGGAAACGGCGAGATTGGCTGAAAGACTTTGAAAAAGAAACAAGTCTGGCAGAGCATGAACTGGACACAGCCAGTGAGGCATCTTCAGAGCCAGACTATAACTATGAATTTGCACAGATGGAAGTTATCATGAAGACGCTGAATAGTAACGGTGAGACCCTAATTCGTCCCCTCCTGTCAGTTGGTGAAGGATGAGCGTGTATAAAGTGGCACCCTGAAATTCAGACACAGAAAATTGCTAATTCTCTACAAAGGGGCTTCTGAGGAGATTTGGGGACAGTCTCCTCCCTCGGGTATAACCGGAAAGTGGATGATCCCTTTTTTGAGACCTCTTGTTCCCAAGCCAGTTGTTATATTTCCACAGTCCTAGAGCTCTTAATGATTTTAACAGATTTTATCGAATCTTCCAATATAGCCAGGTGTGGTATTCCATTATCTTTTCTCTTTCTGTGCTTATACACACCTGTGTGCATTCAGTAACATTCACACCAAATTCTTTCCTTGCCTCCTATTTGATAAATCTACCCCTTCCTCTTCCCACCCACCAATCTCCCAATTCCCAATCCTTAGTGCCTGCAACCTAAAAGACAGGCAAAAGCTTTCCTGACACCAGGCACAAGACAGCATTTCCAGGGCTGCAACTGTTTTTCAGGATAAGCTGGATACATTCAGGAGCTCCAGAGAAAGTTTCAGGGCTTGGTCTCAGCTCACCTTTCCAGTCATCTCTCCTGGCCACTGAAGGACCTATAACCAGAAAAAGTTTGAGTTCTTCCCTGAAACAGTGACTTTCTCACTCCTTAAATAAGCCTATCTCGGAGAAAATGGACCATGGCTACAGAATTGTCTGATCTCAGGAGTTCTGTTGCTGTAGTAAAGATTTTGACCTTTCTATCCACCTCTCTGTATGATTTTTTTTTAGTCTTTAGGACTCTTTTTAAATTATAAAAGTGAAGTATAAAGAAAAGATCAGACTCTGTAAAACAAATTAACATAGTTATATGAACAGTATAGAAATACACACCGAAAAACTAGAGAAAAATAATTTTACAAAAAGAAAACTTGGTCATTTCTCTCTTTAAACATTAAGCTTAGGATGTTTAGATGAGCCTCTGGGACTTTCAATATGCAAGGCGGGGGGACCACAGCTGAAATCAAGCTTCAGTCCACTCTTTCTTGCCCACCAATGGGGAAGAATCCCAAAGTGGTATTCAGTCATTGCAGTCACATCAGTGGGTCATTTAACAACATGCTGGAGCAGTGTGTTTCCTGGGAGTGATTTTTGGGAGCTTGAATACACATGTTGTGGCTGGGTGTGGCAGGAAAGTGTAGATTCCACACTCCGGCGGAGGACCGCCCATTGGGAGAGACCTCATTTCATCAGATGAAGTTATAGAATTCTAGATGGGTCCGTTGCTGAACCCTGCAGCGTACCCAGATTTTACCAGTTTAATCATTTATCCATCTCAGAGCACAGGTTTCTGATTTCATCCAATTGCTACTTTCTTCTTGTCATTTATAAATTAAACCTGTGAGGCTGGGCATGGTGTTGTACACCTATAGTCCCAGAACTTGGGAGGATTGCTGTAAGTTCAAGGCCAGCCTGAACTATATCACAAGACTCTATCTCAAAAAAAAAAACAAACCCACAACAATTAAACCTCTGAGGAACCAAGTGAATATAAGCATTCCTGAATTCCTCCAATCCTTGTAGCCAAACCTGTTAGTTGTCTGCAGCCTAGCTCATGGTAGTAAGGAGCATTACTCACTTGGATCTCCCATCAAGCCTTGCTCTCCAGTGTTGATTTTGTCCATGTGAAAGTACACTCTCCTCCTTGGTCCCTCACCCAGTCCTGCTGGTGAATGGAGTTTCCCTCCAGGCATACACATGCTCTGATGCAAATATCGAGTGCTGGTGACCAGACAGTTCACAGGATTCACCTCTGTGCTAGGTGGCTTCCCGATGATAAGCCTGTCTGCCTGGTGGTCTTCCCCTTGGTGGTCCTATTTGAAGATTCTCTTCCCTCTCCTCTGGTTCCAGACGAAGCTCCTCCACAAAAACTGGGACAGAGGTTTTTACCTGATTGGCAATGGCATGAGGAAGCATGGCTGGTTTTCAGCAGGGCTGCTGACTGATGCTTATGCTGTGTGCTTTGGCGAAATCTAGGTGCCATGATTGGGAAGAGGTAGAAATTTTCTGTGCAATGTAGTCACTCTGTATTCTTGATCAAGGGATGTTTCATTTTCATTTTGCCCCTCCCCCATCGCATGTCCCAACTCCATTGCCTTCCCAGAGGTAAAATGTGATAGCTGTGCCCTTTCCCTTGCACCCAAGAGCACGGGAAGGATAAATGCTTTACTCCTATGGTTCCTAATGGCTTTATTACTGTTTCAAGCACAACAGGTCAGGGCAGTAGCACTTCCAGATATATGTTCAGCTCCATTAGCCCAGTAATAGCCTGGAATACTGCATTTTTGAGTCCCTAGAGTAAATACTGATCTAAACCCCAATTCATTTGAACTTAAAGTAAAAGAAATTCTAGTATTTATGAACAATAATGCCTTCTTTCTAGGATTCGAAATAGGTGAAAGACTCATCTCTTTTCCCAGTTTCAGTGGTAGCCTGCTCTAGAGTAAAGAGCAATTAAGGGGCTGGCAAAGGTCATAGGGCTAATTTATTCCATCTAAGATTAAAAGGTTCTTTTTTTCCCTAAGGACCCACTTCCCTTCATTACAGTGCTTTGGACATCTTGGTGTGAATTAATTCTAATACTCATTCTCACATAGATACCCCCACCAGCACCGCTACCACTAATCTGTTTTCCATTTTCTGGATGACAGATTAGTTTGAGTTCATTTCATAGTTATCTACCTGGGAAACAGTAAACTAATGAGGAAAAAATAGAGCTATGTCTCAAAATAATACTGTCCTTCTGTCTCCCAGAGAGACTTAGCTGTTTGGTATCGAGGCCTTAGGCACCAGGTTAATTCAAGTGGAGGAAAGAGGACTGCCTCAGCGGTGGAGTGCTTGCGTCCCTCGTGCAAAGCTGTAGTTCGGTCCCCAGCACTGCAAAAAGGAAAAAACAAGGAGAAAAGCAATGGGGGCAGGGATAGAACAGCACAACCTATTGATACTTGTTTGGGTCATTAGGGAACTGGCCAGATGATCTTTGGCTTCTATTCTGAGCCCTGTCAGAGTCAGATCGACTTGCCAGTGAGGGGGATCTATTTAAACGGATGCTGGAATGTGAATGGGGAAGACTTCAAACTGGTCAATTTGAAGGAGCAGCGGGGAGGAGTTATCAAAGATGTCTATGAAAAAGACTTTTCCAGACTACTACTGGGATCTGAGATGAAAACAAAACCCAGCCTCTGGGCATCCCAGGAGGCTGCTGAGTCGTAGGAGTCCCCAGGGCAGGGCTTGCTGCAGTGCCGGGGAGGCTCTGAAGCAGGCACATTTCTTTCTTTCCTTTCCGTGTCGGCACATTTGAGCTTTGGGCCTGGTGAAGCCTGATGTAGCAGTGGCTGTGCTACGTCGTGGCAGCTACTGAAATTGCCTCGGCCACATGGCCTCTACATTGGCAAGGAAGCTTGGGGTGCAACCCCTCTGCCTCAGCCATTTGAGATCATGGGTGTTTTCTGTACCACTCACTGACAGGTGGAAAAGTGTGAAGTAAATACCTAATTTAGTGTCTCTTAGCACACACTTGTAATCCCAGCACTTGGGAGGCAGAGGCAGGGGGTTTTGAGTTTGAGGTCAGCCTGGCAACATGGCAAGACTCCCTCAAAAACAAAACAAACACAAATCCTGGTGCTGTTTTATGAGTTGTGCAGTCTTAAGTCACCCACCTAAACTTTCTGAACTCCAGTGTCCTCATTTTTTTAAGTTGGGGTGATGCTTGCCCTTGGTGTGCTGCAACATTTTCAGGAGTTGGTGCATGCAAAGGTTATAAATCTTCTACTGAGATGTAGCCAGCAACTAGTAGAGAAATTCTTGCTGTTTTCATTAAAACAAATCACTATGCTGCATATTTCTTGTGATTTTTTAAAAAAATACTCCTTTCTGCTTTGTATTATTTCACCTTATTTTTTAAGCTAGCATGCTATCTTTTTCTCTTATTGCTAACAGAAAGTTAGTGCAATTTATATATTTATTTTACAAATTGATGGAGTATTTTGGGAAAGTCAATAGCCATAGTCAGATAATATAAAATTTTTTCCTGAGTCACTTTAATTTCCAACTTCTTTCTGGAAATTAAACTGAGACTAATATGTGGGAAAATAACACAACCGTCCTGAACAGCATGCAGTGCACAAATGTACCAGGAGGAAATTATGTCCCAGGCTGGTGCAGAAACACATCTCAGGCCCAGGTACCTCTAGGAAGTGTTAGTCACTGTGGTGGTCTTGTTCTGCCATCGAGATTGTCTAGTGCGCTGCTTCCCTGCTGTCTACTCACAGGGATGCTGGAACTTTGTACATGTGACTGACCAGTGCCTTGACCCATCTCCATGACAGCCAGCTCAGTGGTCATTACCAGCCACTTGGCTCTTCAGAGTCACCACCTACACCACAGCCACCACTAGTCATCATAGTGGTTCCGTGCAGCAAGATCCCTTTATAGGTCTATTCCTGTTCCCTGTATGTATGGTTGAGGTTGTCCAATTCTGGACCCATACGATGTCAGATACAGGTTTTTGTTATTTTCCAAGTTGGTTGTCCTCTTAGATGTTAGCACCTGAGAAATTGACAGACCATATACTCATTATTTTCAAACATATGTTATGGTTTTTAAGTTTCCTACCACCTAAGAGAAATTTAAGAATAATGAGATTTGTGGTGAAAATCATTACCCTTTGTGATGTACCAAAACCAGTAATAACTGGGCATAGAAAATGACAACTGTAAATGTCGAATCATACATGTTTTTATCTGTAGAGTAGTCCTAGATTTCATGAAGGTTTTCTTCTCAGAGATAGGATCACATCTCCTTCTCCTCTGCCGCCTGATGGTACTAGATTAGTGACCTAAACGTTAGGGTGAACCCATCAAATTGAAAACATTAACATAGCAAACATGGAGAATGTTTGCATATGGAGCAGTTATCTAATATGTTAGTAAAAAGGAAACTGAGAGGATTTCAAGCCACTGAGCCCCTCAGACATCTCATAGAAAGTTCGAGACTGCTAGATTCTGGGCCCACAGATGGTTCCAGCCAGAAGGGTCCCTGACAGGCTGCTGACTGAGCCACTGAAGGCACCTTGCCTTGTCTCTTGGCCCACCAGACCCAGTTCAAAATGTGGTTCAGGTCCTGGAGAAGCAGTACCTGGAAGAAAAGAGAAGTGCACTGGAGGAACAGCGGCTCATGTACGAGCGGGAGCTGGAGCAGCTCCGCCAGCAGCTCTCACCTGAGAGGCAGCCGCCCAGCAGTGGCCCCAGCCGCCTGGCCTACAGCAGCCAGACAGCGCAGCAGAAGGTGACCCAGTGGGCCGAGGAGAGGTGAGAGAGGGGAGGTGGCTGGGTACCTGGGGCCTCAGGGCTTGGGAGTAGGGGACAAACCTCGCAAAGAAGGAAGTCGCAGTCCGGCACTGTGTGTTGGCTCTTGGCTTTTCCTTCCAGAAATACTGTCTGTCCTGGCATCTTTGCTGCAGTGGTAGCTGCCAAAGAGCCCATCTTTCACCCCTCAGTGAAGGCTTAGACTGCTAGGTGTGTAAAGATGGGAAGTTTGAACAATTTTTTAGCAAAAAAGCACTTCCCTAATTTTTTATTTCTTTTACCTTTGATTCTATTTAAATATAACTTCATGGTTGAGAAATCTACCAAGGGTGAATTTTCAAGATTTATGCCATTAATATAATTATATCAGAACCCTCAAAGGAGGTTGTAACAGAGGAAAAGGTAATAATAACGACCACCAATAAGGGCAGTACATTACTACTAACTTTTCTTGGTTCTCACCACAGTCTGGGCCTGGTGCTAATTTTATTTAACACTCCCAATAGAACTATCTCTACCTTTCTAAATGGGGTGCCTGTTTAAATATGCTGCCTTATCACCCACCTAGAAAGTGAAAAAGACAGAGTTTGAATTCAGGTCTGTCTCTAGTCCCAACAACATCTCTGTGTTATAATAATTAACAGTAGTTATAAAGGTAGCACCTGACAGTTATAGATTATTCACCATGTTGTAGGTTCCAAGTGCTTTACCATTACTCCTCTCCACTCAGGTATTCCCATTTTATATGTGAGGAACTGAGGCCAAGGGGCCAAATGATTGACCCAGTGTCATTTGGCTTACAAACTGAGGCAGCCTGACTCTAGAGCAGTGGTGGTGAATGTTTGGCATGTGTGCCACAGTGAGTTGTTTGTTATTGAAAACTAACTCTAAAAGGTTCGCTGTCACTGCTCTTGAGCTTCTACTCAGGCCCACACTCACTCCAAGCTTTCACTAGCAATGTGATGCTAAGGGGAGCCACATCCCCAGAGATGACCCAAGGTGGGAAAGGGGAACCCTCCCTTGCATCGAAGCCTTCTCGGAAGTCATGTACTTGCGTGGCCAAATGGAAAGAGCCAGTTACATCTTCCCAGGAGCTACCTTTTCCTCTGTGTGGGTACTGAAGTGCAAGACACAGCATGCTCATGCTGGTCTTTCTCACTGTGCTGGGAGGAGCCGAGCAGGTACTCAGGTGGTGCTTCTCCCAAAGAGCTGCCTTTCCCACGTGTACTGTGAGCAGGCTGCCCGCAGAGCATCATTATCTGTGGAAGGTGGTTGGGGTTATTACACCCATCGATATCCGTTCTGTTTACACAAGAATGTAAAAGACTAATCAAAGGAGTCTGGTAGAGAATGTGGATTGTTTTTTATTATAGTGTTTCTCAGCTAAATGTTCAGAAATGTTTTTCACTCCCTTAATTCTAGATTGATTGTCTTTGAGACCTAAATTCTTTCTTTTTTTTTTTGGTACTAGGGATTGAACTCAGGACCTTGTGCTTGCCAGGCAGGCACTGTGCTGCTGAGCTAAATCCCTGGCCCGAGGCCTAAATTCTTAAAAAGGAATAAGAGTGGCTGCAATATTGACTGAATTAGGTTTCACTGGATATAATTAAGGTGCCTAGTGGTGAGTGGTTGTATAAGATGCCTGGACTCTTGTCCAAGTACAAGTTGATGGGTTAGGAAATAATGAGGGACTCACACCTACATAAACAGTGAGAGGCAGAGAATCGAATGTATTTTAAGTGCTAGGACAATCAGAGAAAGCTACCGATGTAATTTATTCTCTTTATACACTTAGGATATAGTATGAGTGAAACAAAGTATAATCATATGAAAAATTAAATCATGATAGTAAATTAAAGTTTCATTTAACAGTAGGAAGTACAATGACTTTATAGTTGTTTGTTTGCTTTTTTCTCTTCTACCCTGGAAAGTATATTCCAGGGAACAGAGAATCTGTTTTGTTCACTGAGCCTTCTCTAGTGTCTAGAGTGCTGTTGTCACGTGGTAGGTACTTCACAGGTACCATTTGTACTGACTAGATTTGTTGAAGTGATAAGCAAGTATGTGATTGCCAGGTAGGCAGAGCAGACAGTAAGTTTGATGATCATTTCCTGGAGGGTAAGATCCCGGGGATGTTGAGTGTCCTGCAGAGACTTTTCAAGGAGAAATAGGATTTCAAGTGAGTTTGAAAGGTTGGATTTGAATAGGCAGAGAGAAGGCAGGAGGGCTATTTATTTATGTACTGCTAAGTATGCACCCTACCCTCCCTCCCAGCTACACCCCTAGCTGGTGGCAAGGCATTTGGCATGGGCCAGTTGGCATAAACAGAAGGCAACAGAGAAAGATGGATTGGAGAGGTTGCAAGACAACTGTTTTGTTTAGTCTTGCAGGTGATTTCTAGAGAAATAGGGAGGATTAAATCTAGAAGTATGAGCCAGGGCATGTGAGAGGGTTGTAGACTTCAGTGTTTGCAGTTTATCCCCTGGAGCAGACTTTGAGCCACAGGATGGCATGAGGCAGCCAGGAGTTTAGAAGGACTGTCTTGTAGTAGAAGGGCCTGAAAACAGAGACAGACACACACTTAGGAGCTGTTTTAAAGGAAGAATTAAGAAGGCTTTGGATATTGTGGAAAAGAGAAAGGCTGAACTTACTGAAGTCCAAGCCTGGGTGAATGGAAGAGTGGAACTGTCTTTGGGGAGAACCATTGTGATTGCATCCTCACAGTGAGCCTCTTCCTGAGCTGTTTCTGAGGTGGTGAGAAGGAGCTCGAATTTGCATGTTCTGAGCTCATCTTTTACCTATGAAGTAAGGATGTAGCCGAATCAACGGTGGAAAAAAGAAACTGCACATGCACAGCACAGACCAGTCACTAGACTGTATTATCTTTGAATCCAGACATACAAGCAAAATCCACAAATACTCTTTTCTTTCACACAATGGGAATTTAAAATTTCCTCTTGGGCCATGCACTTGGCCAGGAACTCAGTGTTGTGGTGAACAAAAAAATGACAGTCCTGCCCAAGTAACACTTACAGCCCAGTCATACAATTATACAAATAAATGTAAAGCTGTTACTGTGACAGTCTAGTGGAAGCAGAAGACAAGGGGCTAAAAGGACATATAATAGGGCTTTGACCAAGTTGAGGTGTTACTTTTTTTTCAGTGACTGCTATTGTATAGAGTTGGAAAAAAGCATTCCTGCTGCTTCGAGCATTCCAGCCAGACTTTGACCACTGAAGAAATCACATGAGCCCCTGGCTTCCAGCTTTGAGTTTCTCACCTGCCAGCAGCTCCCCCATCCTGCAGTACCCAAAAGTCATAAATTGTCATTTTTCTTCCTAAAGCATGCTTTTATTTTTTTGTTTGAATCCTCATATCAAAATCTGGATTTTTTTTAAGTATACAATTTATAATTTGATTTTGGTGCTGGAGATTGAACCCAGGGCCTCGCTCTCACATGCTGAGCCCAGGCTCTACCACTGGGCTCTCACCCACCCTAAGACCTGGTTTTTATTGAGGTCACTCTGTACTCTCCTCCCGAGCAGTGGTTCCCAGTGTGGTAATCATGTGAGGGCAGGAGGACAGGATCCGAGATGACTGGCAAACGAGGTCAAAAATATCACCTGAAAGGAATCTTCTACCACTTTCCAATAAGACTACTCACACAGAGACAGGATTGCCATTTTCTTTCACATGTGGTCATTTTCTTTTCTGCAACACCACAGGGATGAACTCTTTCGGCAAAGCCTAGCAAAACTCCGGGAGCAGCTAGTTAAAGCGAATACCCTGGTACGGGAGGCAAACTTCTTAGCTGAGGAAATGAGCAAACTCACCGATTACCAAGTGACTCTTCAGATCCCTGCTGCCAACCTCAGTGCCAATAAAAAGGTGAGATTATCCTTAGAAAATGAGAGGGAGACACACAATAGTGAATACTGTAAACCAAACTCCACACATCATCCCTGCAGAAGCCTAACACGAGCCAAGGTGTTTATTCTTTTTATCCCTTCCTGGATAGAAAGCTGCATGGCTAAGAATCCTATTTAAAACATTACTGAAATGATAAAAAAATTATAGTAATAATTAGATGTCTCATAAGCAGAATATACAGAATTTTGATGGCTAAAGGACTTGGTAATTTAAATACTTTTTTTTTTAAACAGTGGAACTAGCAGTCTGTATAAGTCTGCTTTTCCGTGCACAGTAATGCCCCTTCTGAAATGGGCAATGTGTGCATATTTTGTTACAGGTTTGATTTGGGGTTTTTTTGTTCTGTTTTTAATACTGAGGATAGAATCCAAAGCTGCCTCAGAGCTACATCCCTGGCTCATTTGATTTTTCGCTTCGAGACACAGTCTTACTAGTTGCCCAGGCTGGGCCCAGCTTGTGATCCTCTTGCGTCAGCCTTCTGAGTAGTTGGGATAGCAGGCGTGTGCCACCAAACCCAGCTAATCGTATCTTTTTAAAGAGTAATTCTGCAAGAAAGCACAATGTCTATGATCCTGTCTTTATGGACGCAGAACTCTTTGCAACCATTTGGAAGTTTCCAATTGTTTCAATTTGGAGAATTTTTCTGTTAGCAAAAATTGGAAGAAAATTGTTTTTCTTTTCAGCAAGCAAATTAGAGAGTGAGTCAGAGAGTATTTTATCAGTCTTGCTAGGTTCTAGATTTTTTTCCTTGTAATTCCCCTTTGAGAAGTTTACTCCACTTACATAGGCATGGAAATGTATATAAAGGTTTATATCCTTTATGCACAGGTGCTTCTCATAGTGGCCTTTATAATAGCAAAATTTGGAGACAGCTATTATGCTGAGCAATAGGATAGTCAAATCCATGTGGTAAATCCATATGATGAATTCCTATGTTGCCATTAAAAATCACGTTTGTAAGAATATCTAATGACATAAGAAAACAATCAACATAAAAATGAAGAGAGGATTAGGATATGAAATTACAGTTTTGTTTGGTCTTGGTTGTGATAAAAAATAAAAAGTGTGTACACAAATATGCATAGAAGATAGAAAATAAACCAGGATAATCCCCTAGGTGGTAGCATTTTCTCTTCTTTTGTGTGCATTTACGTGTTTAGCAAACTTATTGCTATGTGTATGTGTAGCAACCAAAGTAAAAGTTATGATGCCCATGTCGTTTGGTTTTCTTCACTATGCAGAGAGGCTTAATAGTGAGCGAACCAGCTATTCAAGTGAGGAGAAAAGGAAAGAGCACCCAAGTTTGGACCATTGAGAAGCTGGAGAATAAATTAATTGATATGAGAGACCTTTATCAAGAATGGAAGGAAAAAATCCCTGAGGTAAAAGAGACAAAACATAAAGGAGATGTGGTTATACTAAAAGCAAAGAATACAAATGACTTAATCTTTAGAACACACACACACACACACAAACACACACACACGTGTGCACGGCACCAGTGATAAAATAAAAGGGAAATGATGTTGAAAGGAGTGCTGCCTTGAATCTGTAGTACAACCTGTGCTTTCAACAGATGGAAGCAGAATGAAGAGAACATATAGCAGATTCTTATGTGGCTTCATTTTTACTACATTTCAAGTGAAATGAAATGCAACAAAGTAAATTTACGTGCTGTTTTGTTGGCATTTTGAAAAGTCAATTTAGTTGGATCCAGTATGGAGTTTATATTCATTAGCATATGTTCATGCACCCCTAGCTATTACTGTGGCTGGGTAGATTTTGTAAAGTCATTTTGGGCACATAATCAATTTTTTGGATAGTAGTAATAGAAAAGAAGTCTCGGCAAAGAAGATGAGGCGAGGCCCAGGGGATGAAACGGAGAAGGCGGCAGGTGCCTGTGATAGGGAAGGGAGGCAGGATCTAAGGAGGGTGCCTCCTCATGGGTGTCACTTTGTTTCCTAACGAAAAGGCCCTCTCCTCTGATGGACCTGATTCTAATTTGACTTATTTATTTCCCATGACTACTTCCATGAAATTTTTTAAATGCTAGTTTTAAATATTATGACTTAAGTTAATGTTACTCACCCACTAGCTCCTCCTGCCCTTCAGGCAAAGAGACTGTATGGGAAACGAGGTGACCCTTTTTATGAAGCGCAAGAGAATCACAACCTCATCGGTGTGGCCAATGTGTTCTTGGAATGCCTTTTCTGTGACGTGAAATTGCAGTATGCAGTCCCCATCATCAGCCAGCAGGGGGAGGTAAGGACAGGCCAGCCTCAGAAAGAATGGAGCTTTGAATTTCTCAGGGCTGTCTTAAGGTAGATCAAGAAACTGGGGTGAATGGTCAATGATCTGCATTCTTTGTTCGGTACTAATAACTGGCATTAGAAATAGAGTTAAGTCATAGTCTTAAAAGATAATTATAACAGATTTTATATTTGTTATTTACATGTTTTTGTCTTTGTTTAATCAAATTAGAGTGTTTTGAAAACCAAATTCAGCTTCGTGGGCCATATTAATTTCTCTTTTTACAGATAATCTTGTACTTTGATGATATACTCTAGTTCCTTCCTGGGCCTTAAATGGTCTTTACAAGATACAGTTTGGGAGGATTATTTCAAAATCCAAAGTATTCAGGAAAACAAGCTTATATAACCCATTATTACCACCTTCTAAACTCTCATATTTCACTTGTTTAGATATATTGACCTTAAGTAGGAAAACATTAAAGTTCAAGCATTTTTATTCTTTTTTTTTTGGTACCGGAGATCGAACTCGGGACCTTGTGCTTTCAAGGTAGGCGGCAGAACCACTGAGCTAAATCCTCGGCCCTTTTTTTTTTTTTTTAAATTTTTGAGACAAGGTCTCCCTATGTAGCCCAGGCTGGCCTCAAACTCATAGAGATCCTTCTGTCTTGGCCTCCCAAGTGCTGGGATTACAGATGTGTACCACCATTCCTGGCAAAACTCAAGGGTTTTTTTGGTACTGGGGATTGAATTTGGGATCTTGTGCTTGTGAGTCAGGCAGCAGAACCACTGAGCTAAATCCCTGGCCCAAAACTCAAGCTTTAAAAATAATTTTACCCATTTTGTCAACTGACTTTTTATTTTTAGTTAACATCCTTTCTTCCTAGGTTATCTTGTATAACATACAAACTTGAACTACCAAATTATTTCTTGTGACTTCTAGAGCAGAGTAGGAATAAGATGCTGTTCTCCCCAAATTGAAACTGGGAAGTAGACCGAGTTGCCAGCTGTTCGGGATAAATCCAAAGCCCATTTCTATTGTGGTTACCCTCCTGCAAACATTCTGCTCAGTGGCCAGCATTGCCTTTCCTACGTTAAGAAACCATATGACTCATATGACAAAAAGGGGTCGAGTGGCTGAGAATCTTGCTCAGGAGTCTTAAACTGGGGCCTGCGGTAGCCTTTGGGTATTACATGAATCCCCCTGAAATTATATTGAAAATGTATTTGATTCTCAAAAAAAACTGAAGAACGTGCAAACCACTCCCTTCTAGCTGAATTATCTTATTTCCTCCCCACCCTTGTAACTTCCTTCATGTTTGTCTCACTTGTCAAATACCATCGACTAATTCCTCTCAGATTGTTGGTGCCGGTGCCAATTGCTGTGTAGAAGTTGCGTCTGAGCTACCTTCCAAAATAACTTTCACTATTTAGGATGACAGCAGCACTTCCCAGCCAGTCATGGTAACATTGAGCTGAGATGTGAACGAGAACTCAGCCAGTTTAAATGCCCTGAGGATATCCCACAAATTTCAGGATAATCCTTATACTCTAATTCAGTTCTGTACAAGCAGCTTTAAAAGAAATATCATTGAGCTGGCCTCTATCCAGAACTGCCATGATAGTGAGGAAATTTAAAGCCATTTAACAAAACAGCTTTAAAAGAACTGTTTCTTCATAGCTGTGTGGCTTTGTTCATGCCGTTGTTAGTGGAGTTCATCTGATAGTCTTCATCCTGCTCCCAGGATGCATGTGAGCAACTGGTTTACACTGTTGTTTCTGGGTTTTGGCTTCTTTATCTTTCCCCACTTGACTGTGTGCTCCCTGACCATTGCCTGTGTCTTTATTTTGGTGTCTCATGAAGCCACATGTTTGATCACATGAATAAGTTAATGGAGCCTGTGGCCAACTGCACACGCATATGAATATGTAAACAGACATGGAAAATAGGTGGATCCCAGAAGCACAGGACAGCTCCCTCGTCTGTCCTGAGGAAGAAGGATAAGACTGAGGCGGAGTAAGGCAGGATGGTGTCAGGGACAAGGGCTGGGCGCTGGGAGCACAGGTTTCCGGTGACTGAGATGGCCCAGCAGTAGCCGTGAGGGGCTCCCTGGGTAGTTGTGGAGGGCATGCTGTCTCAGCTCAGTTGCCCGTGGGATGCCTTTTAACTCCAAGGTGCTCTGGTTCCTTGACCCAGGTTGCCGGCCGCCTCCACGTGGAAGTGATGCGCATGACCGGATCCGTCCCGGAACGTGTGGTGGAGGATGACTCCTCAGAGAACTCCAGTGAAAGCGGGAGCCTGGAAGTCATGGACAGCAGCGGAGAAATCATTCATCGAATCAAAAAGCTGACCTGCCGGGTGAGAGGACAGATGAAGCTGCTCCTGTCAATGGCCTTCTTCATGCAAACTTATTCCATCAAAACAATTAGGAGAGTTTTTCCATCCAGCGTTGTAAAAATTGAATTGTTTGACAATAGTCAGAACTGTGGATAGTGCTTTTTCTGACAGTTGCATAAAATTCAAAAAGTATATCTACATAGATGTATTCCTCCCTCAGTACCCATGGGGCTTTGGTGCTAGGATGCCCTGCAGACACCTGAATCCACTGGTGCTTGAGTCTCTTATTTTTTTTTTTTTTGAGTCCCTTACATTAAATGGTGCAGTATTTGCATAGAACCTACCGACATCCTACCATATCCTCTAGCCTCTAGACCACTTAAATCTATGAGAATAGTTGTTATTTGTGCTATATTGTATAGGAAGAAAGTCTATATGTGTTCAACACAAACACAGTTCTTTTTTTCCTTCCAAATATGTTTAATCTGATTTGGTTAAGTGTGCCAAAGTAGAACTCACTAATACAGCAGGCTGACTATGTATTTGGTGTGCAAAGAGTGTATGTTGTTCAGTAAAGTACGATTTTATAGTAAAGTTCACATGTGTATCAGAAACATAGTCGTTAGGAACATTTCACAGGGAAGTGTGTGTGTTGCCAAGTTTATATGCTGTAGTTGGAGGACAGTTGTACAGATTTTGTTATGGATAGAGCCCTTAATGAAATGATGTCAGATATTTTCAGATGTCAAATGGATGATGGATTTTCTTCATCACCTACTCTTAAATTTGTGATAATTGAAATAAAGAATATATAATTTAACATCTCCTCTATGGGAGTTATATTTGCATTTTTAAATCTCTGCAGGTAAAAATCAAAGAGGCAACTGGGCTGCCCTTAAGCCTGTCAAACTTTGTCTTCTGTCAGTACACGTTCTGGGACCAGTGTGAGTCCACTGTGGCTGCCCCCATGGTGGACCCGGATGTGCCATCACTGCAGACCAAGGACGCCCAGTACACAGTGACCTTCGCCCACTGTAAGGTACAGATGCCATTGCAAAGTGCACGCCACAGGCCGAGGGAGTCGGTGCGGTGTGAGGATCTAATTATAACTTAGACTTTTCCCCCAGAGAATTTATGTTAAATGTAATGTTCTATTAGATTTTTAACCTCAAAAAGTACTTCATTAAAAATCCAGATAACTTAGAAGTATTTAAAATCTGAAAGATCTCAATCTTCAATCTTATTACATAGACATGTAAGCACTACTGTTTGCTACATATTTTAATATTTTCTGTACGGTACAACTTGCTTATATGTGTGACAAACATGTAATACACGTAACTGGGCATAGATACCCACTTTTACATCAAGCACAAAATGTTTTACGAAGGTGGGATTACATTATGCATATTGTAGAACTCTGAGTATCTCAACATCTAAGTTGCTACAGATATTTCCCATCATTTTGAATATTTCATGGCATTCTAAGATTATTATTCTAATATACCATATGAGGTTTTAAAGAAAATATAAAATAGACAAGATGAAGTTGTGATTGGACCTAGCTTGAGACACTACCTACCCTTCCTGGCTTTCACAAGGGGCTGTAGTCAAGTCATTTCTGAAAGGCCAATTCTACCCTTCCTTTAACTTTGCTTTTCCTGGTCAGTCCGTAGTAGATACTCAAGACCATTTCCTTTGTAAATTGTGCCTTTTCTTTCTGGCTATGGAATTAGAAAACAAATACAGAAATACCTCAGTTGTTGGACGCCTCTAAGCTCGAACTTCGCACTACTCAAATAGAAAAGTTCAAAAAAAATCTGCTCAGTGTTCATAATTTTGCTCAACAGTCAAACTGAAAATCCAGTGTGAAAAAACCTTTACAGGCCAAGAGTGAGTCTGCACCACATCTCACCGTGGACACAGAGAGGTGATGCTTCTGTCTGAGCGCCGCCCTCCCCCAGAGAGCATGCAGTACTTGTGTTAGTGCGTTACAACATTCATCACTCTGGGGTTATTTTGTGCTTTATTTGCATAAAATATCATAACCATGGCTCCAGAAAAGCAGTAAAGCTAAGAGGACAACCGTGAGAGCGACAGTAGACTTAAAGGAAAAAAACCATGGTGAAATTTGTTAAAAGTCCTGGCAAAATGAATTTATAAGTGTCATTTTGGGCCTCAGAACCAATTATTTGGTTTTCTGTTATTTCTTTTTTTTTTTTGGTACCTAGGATCAAACTCGGGTCCTTGCGCTTGCACAGCAGGCAACGAAACCACTGAGCTAAATCCCCGGCCCCTAGTGTAAGTTTTAATCAGTATAACAGCTGTTTCCAGAAATGAGAGTCACAGAGTGCCTCCACCTGCAAGTCTGCACTTGCGATCCTCTGAGAGGCTTCTGGAAAGGAGATCAGCCAGGTTCCTTGCCTCCTCCATGGTTCCGGGTGATCTGTTCCACCTCTCACTCAATTCAGTGTTCCTTTCCACATAGGCATCTGTTTGTGTTTTAGAATGAGGAACTGAGGTAGGAGAATTTCAGAGAAAGAGCATAGGTCATGAAGATAACCATAGAAATGTCATTCTGCTCTCGTCTCCTGTGCCACGGCAGGAAGCAATGTGTTGAGCTAGTCCATGGCAGCAGAAAGGCAGCGTGGGATTGTGGACTCAGAATGAGCCTAATGGACTCGAATCTAGACTGATTTCTAGAATCAGCAACAGAGTCTGACATTGTACAAGTAGCTTTCTTCAGCTTCCTCATAAGACAAAGGAGTTGAATTAGATTGCCTTGCATTGTCCCTTCTGGATCTAATATTCTGTGGTGGTTGACATTTTTCTGTCAAACAGAAGAGATGGGTTTAAGGTCAAGATCGGGCTAATATATGCCAAAGAAACCTGTACATAGGTGAAAGGTAAAAGGCTCATTCCACAGGCTCCTTATGCGTAATTCTTGTTGTCCCTTTCCTTCCTTCTGATTGTCCCAGGACTACGTGGTGAATGTCACCGAAGAGTTCCTGGAGTTCATTTCAGATGGAGCCCTGGCAATTGAAGTGTGGGGCCACCGGTGTGCTGGGAATGGCAGCTCCGTCTGGGAGGTCGATTCTCTTCACGCCAAGACGAGAACGTTGCATGACAGGTTTGTCCTCCCTCGGCTGGGAACTTTAGACATGGGGTCAGGACTAGCACTTGGACAGGGATTAAGAGCAAAGCCTTTGGACCCTGGAACCACTGTTACTACTTTGGACAAGTACTTACCCTCTCTGAGCCCGTTTCCTCCTTTGTAAAATGAGAATGATGGAAGGAACTACCAGGCCCAAGAAATTCAGTGAGAAAGGTCAGTTATTTTATCAAATGAGACTAAAACAATTGTGCAGATACACAATGGGAAAAAATGGAAAAAAATCAACGTTGATTTTATTTTACTCTATACACAAGAATTAATTTGAGATGGACCATAACTTCAAGTGCAAAAACTAAAACTATAAATCTGATGGGAGAAAATGAAAGGATATCGTCACAATTTTGACATGGTCACAGATTTTGAGGCCACAAAAAGCACTTAATAGAGAAGAAAAAAATTTCACTTGGATTTAAAAGCTAGTGCCCGCCAAAAGACATAAAATAAATAAGCAAGCCACAGTCTAGCAGAAAACAGGCAATTTCTTACTGAGTTGATGATTCACCCAACAATCCACCCCTGGGTATTTACCTGAGAGAAATTAAAACCTAAGTCCATGAATAAGAGTAGTATATTTGTGTTCGCACAGCTTTAGCTAGAGTATTCCAAAATTCCAAACAGTGCAAATACCTTCAGTATTTTTCAGTGAGCAGACAGCCAATGATGGTATTATTTATACAACAGATATTACTTAGCATTTAAGAAGAAAGCTCTTGATGCGATTTGGATGAATCTCAAAAACATTATGCCAAATGACAGAAGCCAAGCACAAAAGACTTCATACTGTGTTCTTCCATCTGTGTGAAGTTCTAGAACAGGCAGAGCCAATCTGTGAGGGAACCCAGTTGCCACAGGGCATGGGGTGTGCATGGAAGGGGCATGGGCAAAGTTCCTGAGGCCATGGCGAGTTGAGTACACAAATTATGCACTTGTTGAGAATTTCAAACTCTATTCTGAAGAGGCGTGCCAGTGGATCTAAGTTATGCTTCAGTGAGATAAATACAAAGAACCAATACCACAGGGCTACTTGAGAGTTGAATAAGGAGAGAATCCGTGTGTTAGACCTGGCGCAGTGCCCAGCACATAGTGAGTGCTCAGTGAGTGGCAGTTATTGCTGTTACTAACTGTGTCTCTGGGCAGTGACACTGTACTTGTTGGGATGGCAGGTGGAATGAAGTAACTCGAAGAATAGAAATGTGGATCTCCATATTGGAATTGAATGAGTTAGGGGAATACGCTGCAGTCGAACTGCATCAGGCAAAAGATGTCAACACAGGAGGCGTCTTTCAGCTCAGACAGGTAATACTACATTTGCTTGTTGTTCGTGTTTTTCATGTTTTCACTCTAGCACACAGTTTCTGGGAATTTTCTATTTCGTATCTCTGGTCCTTAATTCCTTTCCTTCATGTATTCCTTTCTTCCATCCCACCCCATCCCCATTCCTGGTCCCCTCTGCCCCCAAACTCCCCCTCTACCTTGCAGGGTCATTCCCGTAGAGTGCAAGTCACCGTAAAACCCGTACAGCATTCAGGGACGCTGCCGCTCATGGTTGAAGCTATCTTGTCGGTATCTATCGGCTGTGTAACTGCTAGGTCCACCAAACTCCAAAGAGGGCTGGACAGTTACCAGGTAAGAAAAACACCTTTGAGAAACAGTATTTAACAAAGATTAGGGCTTAAGGGTGTAATTCAGTGGTAAAATGCCTGCCCAGCAAGCCCAAGGCCCCGGGTTCCCTCCTCAGGACTGGGTTGGGGCTGTGGTGGGGGTGGGGGGACAGATGGGACCAGATTCGGTCAGTGCAGAAGTAAGGAAGTTAATGGTGTATGAGGGTGGCCTCTCTGGGATATAATACAACGCCCATCTCAGCCATATTTTTTCCCTAATTCACATTTCTACCCATTGCCTTTTTTGTAGACCTAAAATACTCTGTTTAGTGTTAATTAATACTTTCATTTATAAACACACAGTAATGCATACTAGTCATTTGCTTTAGGAAGGTTTTTTTTTACTTCTGGCTCAAAGGATTTGGAACATTTGATATTGTTACCTTGCCTGGTCCACTTTTACTAGTATCATAAAAATCGTTCTCTTACACTGTCATAGTGAACCAGTTTTCTGAAAGTCTTACTTTTTTTTTTAACTATAAAGCTGTCCTCGTGGTCATTTTTTTCTATTACATCTCCCTTTCCTGAATCTTATGTTCTCATTTAAATTTTCCCCCCAAAAAACTCGTAAGAGTTAGTCTTTATATTACTTATCAGACCTCTTCAGTTCTCTGTGAGAATAAACTTCTAATTTAGGAATTGGCCCCAGCATGGCCTGAAAGAATGCACGTGTGTCACTCGGTCCCCAGTTTACCACCACACATGCCTTAGAGACCAGGAGAGTAGCTGTTAATCTGGCTTTCTCGATCCCAGATGTGATAGGCTCCCCTGTTTCTTAACAGGAAGAAAACATCTCCCCGTTTGTTTCTCTGGCATAAGCCCAGCCAATCTTGAGAATGGTTTATCTTATCTGTGTTTTGGCTTCATGGCATTTATATAGACTTTGCTGATGCTAAAAATCAGAGTACAGACTACGGGGTTTTGAGGAAGTTGTAGCTTTGTCAGACACTGCCAGGCCAGAACTCCCTCCAGCTCTCTGTGCATGCTTCATTCAGAGTATGGAATGAAGGTACAAGGAGGAACAGCTTCCCCACCAGGCTTCTCCTCTGGCTCAGTCCCTTGCTTGACCTGCAGTTTCCAGATAGGCTGCAGGGCCAGACTTAGAGTAAGGAGGCCTGGGTTCTTCCTTTGGCTCAACTTCACTAAGTGGTTGCCTTGGCTGAATAACGTAAACTTGGATTTCTTTTTTCTGTCTAAATGGTAATTCTCTGAGGTTCCTTTCTTCAAATAAAAATTTGAGGCTCAGTAAATCTCTGATCTTAGCTAAAACATTCAGTTTGTGCATCTCAAACTATGATCTGACAGAAGGTGGATCAACTGTGTTCCCATTTCAATAACATTAAAAGGATTATTTGCATTTTTTAAAGACAGCATTACCTTGAGTTCAAACTGACTTTTGTCAAAATCTGAACTTTAGAATATTATTGCTATATGCTCTATTAAGAATATAGTACCAAAGGCCGGGGATTTAGCTCAGTGGTTTTGAAGCCTGCTGTGCAAGCTCAAGGACCTGAGTTCGATCCCCGGTACCAAAAAAAAAAAAAAAAGAATATAGTACCAAGGCCGAGGATTTAGCTCAGTCGTTCCATCACCTGCCTTGAAAGCGCAAGGTCCCAAGTTCAATCCCCTGTAGCAAAATATAAAAATAAAAATAACATAGTACCAGGGCTGGTGTGTATCTCAGTGATCTCAGTGGTAGAGCATGTGCTCAGCATGTGCAAGGCCCTAGGTTCAAGCTTCAACACCCAAAGGGGCCGGGGGCGGCGGGGGATGATACAGTACCAGCCATATGAATTCATTTCTTTTCCTCTGCTGCCATGCCCAAGGCCACATCTATTAACATGGTACTTTAGAATTATTCTAATGCAATAACTGAAGCCAATACCAAGTATACTGATTTCACAATTGTTACGTCATAAAAACTTCAAGCTGCTTTTCACTTGGTAGAAGTGCTTCCTTATTCTAAAAAATTAATAATATATTAGAGTTTGTTCTTTTACATTAATAGTATTAGTTCAAGAAAAATTATTTCATGATTAGGCTTGCATTTAATAAATCAGTCATAACTGATAATGATGGTTATTAGACTTTTTTTAAAAGTGTAGATATGAAAATAATTTAACTGTATTTTTAAGCATATTTTTCAAAAAGGATTATCTTTTATGTGACTAAAAAGATTTAGTCATAAATTTAAATGAAAGGTTTCTAAGGAAAATTGTCTCAAAACTATTTTCAGCAAAGTTTATTGTTTTTTGCCTTATGTTTTGGCAGAAGTTGTAACTTTATGTTGCCTTGTGTTTAGGACAGCTGTGATTCTGTCAGCTGATTGTTATTGTCAACAGAGGATGCTGACAGTCCATGCACTCAAAACAGTGTACTGTGCTTTTATGGCACTAGCTTAGTTACAGACCTTGTAGGTGTGTGGTCTTGGGTTCCCCTTGATGAGTTCACCAATGAGAGTAGTAGATGCAAGGGAAAGTCACTGAAGTCAGATATTCAAGGCCAAGATTCCGGTCCCGATCTGCCACTACCTGTGTGATCCTCAGGTTAAATCATCCCACCCTATAGAACCTGTTGCCTTCTAGCCAAATCCAACAGAATCTCTAAAGTCCCTTATGGATTTGCCATGTTATCTTCCTAACCCTTTACATCTTAAATAGCCTACCCATCAATACACATGACCTGCCTGACTGCATAATAATGGCATAGGAGCTGGCCCAATGATGTTGGTTCCTATCCCCATCTAAGAAAGATCTTGGGTTTATTTTCCTTATTTAAAAAATTCTTTAGGTCTGGGGCAATAGCTCAGTGTTAGAGTCCCTGCCTGGCATGTGCAAGGCCTTAGGTTCAAATCACAGCACTGGGGGAAGAAAAAAAAAGGAAAGGAAGGAAGGTTGGCTTTATAGACAAGTGAATTAAATCCATTGAACCTTTTTAAGATTCAAGGAAATGTTTTATTGTGCTGATGTTGTGAGCCATTGTAATGTGTGTGCTAAGTTCAAAGAATTATTTTCCCTGTGTGCTGTTTGAGAAACAAAATGCATGTCCTTTATGTTTATTTTTTTCCTACCAGAGAGATGATGAGGATGGTGATGATATGGATAGTTATCAGGTATTGCTACTGCTGTCAATCCTGTGGCATGGGGCACAGCTATTGCTAATTGCCAACATTTGCAAAGTGGAAGCCAGGGAGGAGGAAGAAGGACCTTAGAGCCAGGATATGCAGTTTCTCACTTGCTTTTGATTTGCTTTGTATGTAATCAGGGATACATTACTATTCTGTTGATTTCCCTCTCAATTCAAAATTTGTAAGCAATTATTACATTTTTGCTATGTTATATTGAATTACCAGCTTGTAAATCCTTGCTAAACAAATCTATTATCACTGCATTAAAATTGATGATCTTAAACATTGCAGTTATTCATCCAGAATCTTTAGATGGACTCGTCTTTTGTATGCTAAACTGCACTCTGCTTCTCATGTCCATGAGACTAGCATTGTTCTAATCTGCCATTTTACTTTAAGAAACTTCTGGATAGGAAATTTGGAGGCATTCTATGCATAGAGCTTTGTTTTGTTTGGTTTAGCCAGTTTTCTCCTCTTCTTAATATCAAGCTTTGTTCTCCGTAACTTTAGAATTTAAATCTCAGCCTTTTCTTGTTGGGAATGTAGGGGAAGTATGTATAAATATGAAAGATTTACCTAGTCATCCCTGAGTGGCCTGTTGTCATGGAATGTGGGGTGAGGTAGGCATGGTCAAAGCAGGCAGCAAACCAAGATGAAGATTTCTGGGTTTGGTCCCTAGTGTTTGTACTGCTTCTCCACATGAGTTAAAAGGATGTTTTGCAATGTGCCTTGCTGTATGTAAAATGTGGGTACATTGTAGGAAAACCTTCAAAGGTATCTGATCTCAGTGTAATGTCTCTGGGGCTAGACTAGAATTAGGCCAAAGAGCTTTCTTTTTTTTTCCAAAGAGCATTTTGAGTAGAATTGATGGGTTTTCTTTCCCTACTCCTAATTTTACTAAGAAAGCAAACAAAAACCAACTGTAGGGGAAATGCCAGTGTCCCTTTGGATCTCAGTGATCCCATTGACTAACATCTTACGGCTTTTTGCGTGCTTCCTGCCACGTTGTTCTCAGGGAAGTCCAGCGGCTGCTTTGGGGATTTCTTCAAGCATGGCTGACTGCATGTTGGGTTTTTGCATGGGAGATTTGGGGTTAGCTCCATGGTGGTGGTTGGAGGCACAGTCTTTGCAACAAGTCTGAAAGGTTCTTTACTGACCTGTTTGCATTTCAGAAAGTAAGTGTTACCTGGCCCTTGAACTATGAACTGTGACAATGTCTGTCATTTTCCATTCCACTTGATGTTATGTGGTTTGAGTTCTGTTCATGGTGACCTTCTGCTTGCAGTCAGTGAAAAGCTGTGCTTTCAATATTCGTGCATACACAGCATAAATATCCTCCAACAGCTGGTATAGTGTGAGCTTGTCTTGCTTTTGAGGATAATTATCCCTTCGGAGATCCAGGGGCTCTGATTTGGTTACCGGCATCCTTGATCAGCATGCAGCGTTACTGAGGCCTGTGCTTTCCTGCATATTAATCACACAGCAATGTTCAGTAGCCTTTCCTAATGAAAAAATGTCCTGAATAATTGAGATATATCTTTAAAAGAAAAACAGTTGTCTATACGCTTGACAGGAAAATATTTCCCCTCTGTTGTCAGGAAGAAGACTTAAATTGCGTAAGAGAGAAATGGTCAGATGCACTCATCAAACGACGAGAATACTTAGATGAGCAGATTAAAAAAGTGAGCAATAAAAAAGGTATGTGGAATTAAATTACTGGGAGTAGCCTTTTCATTTCTACATAGCATCTACATAGGGCGTTTTCTCCCCTTAGCTGGATAGTAGTGTCTCAGATTCTTGAAACAATTGTAGGTATTAGTGAATCTGATTGTACAATGTTCGTTTAAAAAGGCTTTGATTTGAATGTAATAAATTTTCTCAAATCTGAGTTACATCATAAATCTGTTAAGTTAAATGTCATTCAGATTTTGCTTTGCACAGATGTGATCAATACCAATATGTCAATATGAGGCATGCCAGGTACCAGAATCTAGGATTTGCAGCAGCTAAAGGGCTATTTATGAAACCATACTACTTGGTGCCTAGCTCCTCTTGGGCAGGTCCCCTGAGCAAGTTCATTGTGGTCCCTGCAGCCCCACTTAATGCCCAGGGGCGTGGTTTGCTTATGCCAGCAATGGCCACCTGAAGTTTGCAGCAGAAATATGCTCTTAAAAACCCTGGCTCCACTGTCTATTCCTTGTGGTTGATTCTACACCAACAAGCACATCATGAAAGTTAACCCATGTTGTACAGAAGTTAGCAAGAGTACTCCCTCAGAGAGGGAGTCATTCCAGGTATATGTGGAGCTTGCTAATGACTCTGCCCAGAGAGCCCAGAGTTAATTATGGATACTGGGATTTCAAACTATGTAGCATATATAAAATAAAATCCCCTTCGTAGTGAGCATGGAGGAAGATAACAAGGTTTTTTCTAGTAAGGTAAATGATGTTTTTAAATCCCCTAAATGACCTATAGTTTTATAAAGCAATATCACTATCATTATTTCATTTGATCATTCCACCTTGACCAAAAATGTGAAGAAGTCTTCGCCACTGCTGTCCCATTCTTTTTCTACTGCCCCTGGCATGGGGTACCTTAGGTTGGTGTCATGGCCTCTCCCAGACTGGATGTTCATGCTTGACTTTCAGAGCCGCAAACTCTTTTTAGAACTTGGCGGATGTTTAAGCTACTTTGCCCATCACTGCATCTATTCATTTTAAATTTAGACATTGTGCCTTCTCTCTTGCCGGCGCTCACCCACTCATTCTCTTTTGCAGAGAAAACAGAGGATGATGTGGAGCGGGAGGCCCGGCTTGTGGAGCAGTGGGTGGGACTGACCGAGGAAAGGAATGCGGTGCTGGTGCCAGCCCCAGGCAGTGGGATCCCTGGGGCACCTGCCGACTGGTAAGGCTGCCCTTCCTTCTCCACCGGCCTGCCAGGGGGATTGCAGCTTGCCTGTGGCAAGAGCCAGGCAACTGACTTTCCAGGATCATCACAGTAAATGCCAACGGACCGAGCAGCTCAGGGATGGGGCGCCCCTCTCTAGTACTCTCGCCCGTTTATTCTTTTTCCACTGCAGCCTGCTTCCTCCACCGGAAGCCAGACAACATGGGTGACCTGGCCAGGAATCAGATACAGTGCTCCTCTGTTCCTCTGAGTAGGCAGCTTGGACACTGTGTCCTCATCCCCAGAAATTCTTTTATTTTGGCTCCAAAGAAGGATGTTTCCAAAGTATACTTGAAGAGGCGGGAAAATATTTCTTTTTATTTGCCTACTACTTGCTTAGTTTGGCAGCTAGCATAGAGTGAGCACTTATCACCACATAATCAGTCAGCTGACCAGTAATCAGTCCTAGATGTGTCCATGACAAATAGTTGGCATGTGGGGCTCTGCAGGGAAACATCTGGATCCAGTTTTCAGCTTTAGCTCTTAAGTGAATACGTATTTCCTTAACTACTCTGAGGCTTTACTCCTGATCTATTAATGGAGCTACCTTTATGATGGTGATGTGAACACTGCAGATAATGTATATAAAATACTTTGTATACTATGATAAAACAGTTGTGCATATTACAAACTATATAAAATATTTCTCTGAAAGGAAGGACCCGAGTTCGATCCCTGGTACCAAAAGAAAAAATTCCCTGCCCATTCATTAAAAGGTAGCCTTGGCTATTTCTTATTCTCATTCTTATTACAAAAATATGTCCCAGACATTTAAGAGGAAACAAATTCCCTTTGAACATAGAATTTACATGCCTGGATAGTCGCTTTTGGACAGACAATGATATTATTTTTCTCTGTCCATAAATGGAAGTATAACCAATTTCATGTTCTGCTTTATGGAACTAGAGAATCTGAATTTGCAGGCATATTAACTTGTAACCTGCCATTTCTGCCTGCCCACTCTGCTGCCATGGTCATGTCCAGTCTATCTGTCATTCCCAGCCACACCCTGTTCCTCAAAACCCACTCTAGATAGTCTTAGGCAGCCCTAGTCACTCTGATTCAGAAGAGGTGGGATGGGCCCAGGACTCTTCCTTTGAAGAGGCCTCCAGGTGGTTCTGTGTGGCTGGGCCAGGTGTCACATTGCTCTGACTTTTCCTGCACTCAACCCCACCCCTTCCATACAGCCTTTCCTTTGGGGCTTTGAAATATTGTCTCTTTTGTTTACTTACTCTATGCTCTCATCTATCCCATCACCACTAACAACACTTCTGTCCTTGGACCTTTCTTTGGAATTATTTTTAGAAAGCCCTCAGATAACCTTTGTCTCAATCAATCACATGTAATTCACATAACTGGTAGTTCTCTTAGAAAAGTCATGTAATTCCCATGGTTTGTGTTAGCAGGGAGGTCATGAAGTGTATTTCATGAATAGAACCTGCATCTCTACAGGAGTTTTCTTCTGCTTCCATGGCTCTAAGGCATTTTATAATCTACTAAAACAGAAAACATGTTTCATTCATTCATTCATTTTGTTTTTTGGGGGGTAGCATCTTGCTTATAGTCCAGGTTGGCCTTGAGCTTACTGGGTAACCCAAGCTGGTCTTGAACTTGCTGTGATCCTCCTCCCTCAGCCTCCCAAGTTCTGTGATTACAGGCCTGTATCACCATGCCCGGCTAAATGTAAAACTCATATTTTATTATTAAATTTAGGGTTCCACCTTCTGGAATGGAAACCCACATACCAGTTCTCTTCCTTGACTTGAATGGTAAGTAGACAAAGTTCCAAGGTTGTCACATTTAATTAAGATTTCTCATGTATTCAGATGTAATCTGATCTGTAAACTGTTTTTGTAGTTACTCACATGCCATCCCTAGGTGTCCAGTCACATATGTTTTTTGGTACTGGGGATCAAACTCAGGACTTTGTGCTTGTGAGGCAGGCACCAGAACCACTGAGCTAAATCCCGGCCCTTCCAGTCACATATGTATAAGCATGACCTGTGGAATCACGGGGGGAGAGATGTGAGATCACAAAATGAGATCACTTGGGGAGATCGAGAAGTGCATATAAGAATATTAAAGCATTTGCTCTGAAATATTAATGGACAGAGAAATTACCTGGAAAACACATCATGCCCAGCAATTCTGACCCATTAGGCTTGGAAGGCCCTGGCTTCTACATTTCTCTTTGCTCCCTGAGTACTTTTGATGCCAGCATTGATCACACCATAACCTTGCATTAAGAATTGTTCTTTACCGTGACAGTTAAAACTTGGGCAAACCTAGAGTAATGGTTTTCGGTTTGTTTAGAAGTAAAATCCTTTTCCAAATGAAATCTCAAATGGAACCCCATGCATAAAAGTAAAAGCAGAGCTGCTGAGTGTGGGGGTGACAGGCTCATAGCAGGTCCTCCTGTGGAGCCCTAGGGTGCCTTAAAACCACCTGAAAACCTCTGCTCTAGGGGGAAGTCAGTAAGGACAGATGGAAGACACAGAGAGTTTGGCTTCGGCTCACTGCGTGAAGAAGTTTTGAAAGACTAGAAGTAGAACGTGTGCCTTGTGAAGTAGTGAGTTCCCCGTTATTGTCGATATGCAAGCACCAGCTGGTTGGCCACTTACAGATTCTTTTCAAGGGTAAAGCCACATTGGCCAGGGCTTTGGATTTCTTCCAAGTACTTAGAACTTTGACCTTAAGTTGATAATTTAACTGCTAACATCTCCAATTTAACGTAAGTTGTAGAAGTAGGACAACAAACATTAGGTTCCAGGAGGAGTTGCCATCATGAAAGCAGCAAAATCCTAAGGTTTGATAAGTGAAAACTGCCTGAGGACTTTGAGGAGAATGTGTTCCCTCTGTCCAGTAGGACACTCAGAAGCCAACTGCTTGGCTCTTAGCATTTTGTTTTTGTTTTTATGGTGCTGCAGTTGAGCCGAGGACTCGCCCATGCTAGGCAACTGCTCTACCACTGAGCCACATTTCCAGCCCCTGTTACAGTTGTATTCAAAGAATAAGGTCTGTAGTGAGTGTTGGAATGTCTACTGCATTTGTAGATGAGGAGTGAAAGAAAAAACTAAGCTGTATGTAAACTTAATGTGTAAAAAGCATATTTTGGGGCTGGGGATGTGGCTCAGTGGCAGAGCATGTGTTGAGCACACATGAGTCACTGGGTTCAATCCGCAGCACCACCAGAAAAAAAGCACATATGGTGCATTTTTGGCGTGTGCTTAAAAACTGACTTGCCCCCACTTTTCCTCCTGTGCCATGCACTTGGTCAGCGGATGACCTCAGTGCCAGCGAGCAGCTCGTCGGTCCCCACGCGTCGGGTGTGAACTCCATCCTGCCCAAGGAGCATGGCAGCCAGTTTTTCTACCTGCCCATCATAAAGCACAGCGATGACGAGGTACCTTACCCCGCGGGCCCTAGGAAGGGCTGGAGCTCAGCACATGAGCCCGTGGGCCTGTCCACCTGGGGAACTACTGAGTTCTGTTTCAGGGAAGAGGACTAGGGACTTTTAAACAATAACACACTTGTGTTATTGTTTACAAGAGTCGAGAAAAGGAATCTAGTTCATTTTGTGGAGTTGAGTTTATCGTTTCTCTAGTGTATGGTGTGAAACGCTACAACCTGAGTCAGCTTGTTTCCGTCTCCCATCATCCCCCACCCCTAGGTGTCAGCCACAGCCTCGTGGGACTCCTCGGTGCATGACTCTGTCCACTTGAATAGGGTCACACCACAGAACGAGAGGATTTACCTCATTGTGAAGACCACTGTCCAGCTCAGCCACCCAGCTGCTATGGAGTTAGTGTTACGGAAACGGATTGCAGCCAATATTTACAACAAACAGGTAACGGAGGGAACCGACCCTGTTGTGTCTGGAAGGTGTAGGTGTCTCTTTGTCTATCAGTAGTCAAGTTTTGTTGGCCCTGATGTGGGGGGTGTGCAGAATTTGACTACGTTGGCCAGGTTGGCATCTGACTCGCATTTATCCAGGGTATAGTAGGTCACGAGGACAGCGGAGGTATATGTCATCCCCAGAAGACTTTGCCATCTTGACTGGCAGGCAGTGGCTGTGACATTTCAGTATTTGAAATGTAGACACATTGAGACTGAGAGGTTAAGTACCAGGTCCTGTCAGGTAGTGACAAACCAGGGCAACAGACTCCAGGTAGAGCCTTAACCCTGCCTTGCCAAGTGTCACCTCAAAGGTGCTGTCACCAAAGTGGGCCTCCCCCATGTTCCTCTGACTGTCCCAGGGAAGACTGCGGAACCTGGGGAGATGATGTCTAGCAGATGGGCAAGAGGAACAAGGTCGGAGGCCCAGAAAGTGCTGTCCTTTTTGTGATTGACCCCAAGTAACAGCAGGACGCCGTGGTCCCTCGGGCAGGGGCAAGGGTTTTAAGTTCAAGGCTGTTTTTTGTGTTGCTGAATATTGTGTGGGTATATAAAAAAGAGCAATTTATAATGCTTCTATGATTTATTAAATGCTAAATAACGTTCATCACAGACAATCCAGTTTTCCTTTTCTGCCAGAGTTTCACACAGAGTTTGAAGAGGAGAATATCATTGAAAAATATATTTTATTCCTGTGGTGTAACCTATGAAATAGTATCCAATATACCAAAGGTAAAATACATGCTACTTTTTTATTTTTGCCATGGTGGGGATGTACGCAGGGCCTCACATATCCTAGCCGAATGGTTTACTGCTGAGCTATACACACCTCCAGCCATATAAGGAGGGTTGTTTTTGAGGGGGTGGTAATTAGGGATTTGAACTCAGGGCCTTTATACTGAACTACATCCTCAGCCATTTTTTTAATATTTTTTACTTTGAGCTGGGCAAGATGGCACACACCTATAATCCCAACACTCAGGAGGCTGAGGCGGGATTGCAGCAAATTTAAGGCCAGCCTGGATTACACATGAATTTGAGGCTGGCTTGGGCTACATAGTGAGTTCAAAGCCATCCTGAACCACATAGTAAGACCCTGTCTCAAAAAATAATAATAATTAGGGCCAGGGATTTAGCTCAGTGGTTCCGCAGCCTGCCTCGAAAGTGTAAGGTCCTGAGTTCAATCCCTGCTACCAAAATAATAATAATAATAATAATTTAAAAAAAATTTTTTTTTTTTAGACAGGGTCTCACTAAGTTGCTAAATTGCCTAGGCTGGGTTCAAACTCAACAATCATCCTGCCTCAGCCTCCCAGAGTGCTGGGCTTACGGGTGTGCACCACCCCTACTATCTCCTAAAGTATTTTTTTTAACATCAGTATAAAAACAATGGAGGAGGTGTTCTTGAGGCAAGGGCAGCACCTCTGAACTACATTCCTGGCTCGTCACCACACCCTTGATGAGCAAAAGTGTTGTCATTTCCTTCCTGTCCCTTTAGGCAACCGAGGAGATCGAGGACCGGGAAACGCTGGCCCTGCTGGCAGCGCGCAGTGAGAACGAGGGCACGGCAGACGGGGAGACATACATCGAGAAGTACACGCGGGGCGTGCTGCAGGTGGAGAACATCCTGAGCCTGGAGCGGCTGCGGCAGGTGAGTACGACTGTGGCCGCGGGGCTCAGTCACGTCCTTCACCCCGAGGACAAAGCTGAATTTGTGTATGAAACACCTCTCTCTTGAAGGAGCGCTTGAGTAGCAATTTCTCTAGAAGGACTCTGGCTACGTACTGCTAAAAATAAAAAAATCATGGCTCATTTTTTATTGGGTACTTCCTAGTGCTGAGCCCTGTGCCTGAGGAATTTAGATATATTATTTCATTCACTCCTTTGGTTTTCCTTTGGTTTTTGAGACAGGGTTCACTGTGTTACCCACCGTGCCCAGCTAAATACATTATTTTATTTAATCATCAAGATAACCCTCTTGAGTGTCTGGATTACTCTGCAATCCCCATTTTCAAAAGAGAACGCTGGGGCTGAGGGAAGTTGGCCATGCTGCCCAGGGTATGCAGCATGGAAGTGGCATAGGCTGACTGCAAGCCAGGTAGCTTGACCCCAAACTCCAGGTGTCTCCCCCCAGCCATCACCGTCTCCCTAAGTTCCGAGCTAAGAGCAGGATGTTCGAGTGAGAATATGCACTCAGGAACGGGACTGTGAGGCCAGCTGCATGCCCTGTCCTGGTCCCATAGATGTAGTAGCTGACTTTATGGAAAGTGTGTGTTGATCGACAGGAGACTGCGAATCAGAAACCTCTTCACTCAGTGGAAACCCTGCCTGAATTGGTACATGAGTAAAATACAAACTGCCTAACACTTTGTTGTCATTTTACAAACGAGATCTATAGCCGGAGGTTAACTCTTCCTTTTCTCTGTGCCCTTATTTTAAAAAGTTTGCACCGTGGTTCCGCATCCTGCCTCCTAAGTGCAAGGACCTGAGTTCGATCCCTGGTACCAAAAAAAAAAAAGTGTGCACCAAAAAATGTCTTTTGCTTAGCAGTTTTCCTTGTTTTGGAACAAATGCTTTCAATAGATTGTCGGGGGGATGTGGGTGCTGTAAGATTCGTTTTGTAAGTATGACCTTGTGTAGGTGTGTATACAACTCGAGTGATCTTTATGTCTGAATTTTCTAAATCCCACAAAGAAACGTATGTTCCTTTCATAATCGGATGAGACAGTAGTAAGTGGTACCTTTAAATTGTTCCATGTTCACAGGCTGTCACGGTCAAAGAAGCCCTTTCCACCAAAGCCCGGCACATTCGGAGGAGCCTCAGCACGCCAAACGTTCACAACGTGAGGACACCCTGCTCCATGCTGGGTCTCAGGACTGGGGGTGGGGACGTGAGGGTGGGGTTCCCACAGTGGGAATACAGCACACACTGAATAGGGCCCCCAAAGTGCAAGGCTGCTTCTCTATCCCGGGCAGCACACCAGGGCCAGGCCTCCACACAGACACTCATTTCCCCTCGTCTCTCCCTCGATGGTTCTGTCTTCCTCATTATAATTCACCTAGAAAATTCAGTTGACAGAGACTCTTCTAGAGCAGGGCATGGTGGCACGTGTCTGTAATCCTGGCACTCAGGAGGCTGAGGCAGGATCGCTGCAAGCTGAAGACCAGCCTAGGCTACATGTTCAAGGCTAGCCTGAACTGCATTGGGAGACCTTGTCTCAAAAAACAAAAACAAACAGCAAAAAAGAAACTGTGTCTAGCAGAGGTGGAAAGTGTGGTGGGAAGAAGGGACAGATTAGTGCATGGACCACTTCAGGGCACACTCTTCCAGAAGCAACAGAGTAAAAGTAAGATCTTTGAAGGAATGAAGCGGGATTGTGTGCCTCCCTAATTTTCAGGATTGGCAGGAAACTATTAAAAACATGGTGAGCATTTATAAAATGTCTTATAATCGGCCACAGAGCAAATCACAGTAATCACTATCATACGGATTACTTCCAGCCACAAGGCAGTCATTAGAAATAATGAGACTCATACAGTTGTAAACTGAAAAACACACTCCTAACTAACTTGTATATCAAAGAAGAGTACATAATAAAAATTAGGATGTATTTAGAGCTAAATGATAATAAAAACATACGTATACAATGCTTGTGAGATGCAGTTATAGTGGTACTTAGAAATTACTAGACCTACCTCAGTGGTGCCGCTCCTGCCCAGCAAACACAAGTCCCTGGGTTCGATCCCTGGTACCAAAAAAGAAAAAAGAAACTATTAGGCCTAAATTTCCTGTTCCTCCACTGAAACACTACTACTAGACAGTGGAGAAAATGAAGAAGCAAGAGCTATTATTAGGAAATTTATGGTGTTTATATTAAAGAGAAGAGTAAAACATAGGATAAGTATCAGCTTAAAACAAAGAAAAAGCTAGGCATAGTAGCATGCGCCTGTAATCCAGCTCGTTGGGAGGCTGAATCAGGAGGATTGTTTGAGCCCAGGAGGTGAAGGCAACATAGCAAGACCCTGTTTCCAAAAAAAAAAAAAAATGGATGTAACTCAGGGGCAGACTATGTGCTCAGTGTATATAAGGTCCTAGGTTTAATTCTCAGCACTGAAACAACAAAAAAATTTTTTTTTAAACTTCTGAAACAAGTTACTTTTTTGAACCTTAATCTGATGAAGACTCCACATCTAGTACCACCACTTGCCTCACAAGTGCAAGGTCCCGAGTTCGATCCCCAATACAAAAAAAAAAGACTCCACATCTAGCTACTGATACCAAAGAGGGCAGAAGACAATGACACCACTACATGGATTCAATTAGCAAAATCCAGACTGTGGGAAACTTTACAGGAAAAAATCCTAATTTTTAAAACAAACTTAATTAGATTGTTTAAAACAGATTAAATTTCAAACAAATTAAATTTTAGAAAGAGAAAGAATTCACCAGTTTAAAAGAGACTTAAACATGCATCAGTCAAGTACAATGTATGACTATTTTGATCCTGAAATTAGTTCAAAACTCAGGATACATTCAAATAAAGAGGGAAATAAAAACTAGAGCAGAAAAACAATATTAGAATAAATATATAAATATTTCTTTATGTATTTAGTTGGGAAGAGGTGGTACTGGACATCGAACCCAGGGCACTTGCTCTGAAGTACATCCCCAGCCCTATTTTTTTTTTTTCTTCGAGACAAGGTCTCACTAAGTTGCCCAGGCTGGGCTCCAACTTGTGATCCTCTGCCTCAGCCTCCCGGAGTGCTGGAGTTACTGACATGCACCACCACTGTGGGCAAGAATATCCTCAGATGAGATTGGTTGGGAACGAAAAGAAAATATGAAAGATGATAAAAATATTATTGAAAATAAGAAGGGGGATATTGGTATAGGAAAAGCAGAGCCTTAGGCAGGAAGATTGAACCATGAATAATGTCATGACACTACATGTGAAAGCTTGAGCAAAATGGAAATTTCCTGGGAAAACCGAGTCAAGAAGAAATAAGAAACCTAAATATAGCTATCACCTAAAAGAAAGCCTAAACTAAAATCGTAAGTATATTCATTGATGGTAATACACAATATCAAAAAATTGACATATGGCGCCGGGGATTTAGCTCAGTGGTTCCACAGCCTGCCTCGCAAGTGCAAGGACTCGAGTTTGATCCCCAGTACCCCCTCCCCCCAAAAATGGGCATATGAACTTAAAACTCCAAACAGATTTTTATTTACTTTTTATTGGCACATGTTTGCAGTATATAATGATTACAGTCACTGTGAGGAGTTGGAACATGTACATGACCCTTCTTTTTATTTTTCCCCTTCCCCTCCCTTTCTTCTCCCTCCCTGCATCTCTTAGACTCTTTTATATGTGTGTGTATATATATTTATATTTATATATATATATATGTATATACATATTTGAATTCATGATGATCACATTCCTCATAAGGACTTGGTGAAGTACACAACACTTCACAGTTAACCCCCCACACTTTTAAATCTTATTTCCATCCCCTCAATCCCTCCCTTCTTTCCTCTTCCCTCCCTCTGGCTCTCACTTCCTTCCTAAAGCTAAAGATCCATCTTGGTATTTCCTAGTGCCTATCTTTTATTTCTCACTTCATTTATATTTTGGATTTCTCACATAAGAGAAACCATATGATATTCAAGCTTGCTCATGTGAATTATTTCACTTAGCATTATGGTCTCAAGTTGCATCCATTTTCCTACAAATGATGCAGATTATCCCTTATGACAAACTAGTACTCCATTGTGTATAAATACCATATTTTCTTTTTCTTTTTTTTTTGGTACCGGGGATCGAACACAGGACATTGCTCTTGCAAGGCAGGCATGGCACCACTGAGCTAAAACCCTGGCCCAATACCACATTTTCTTTATACATTTGTCAGTTGATGGACATATAGTTTGCTTCCAAGATTTAACTATTATGAATTGTTCTACCATACACGTGGATATTTATACGTCACTGTGGTATAGTGTCTTTAAATCTTTCAGGAGGATACTTAGAAGGGGAATAGTTGAGTCAAATGGAATTTCTAGTTTTAGTGTTTTGAGGAGTCTCCATACTGATTTCCATTGTAGTAGTACCAGTTTACACTCATAGCAGTGATGAAGAAGGGTTCTTTTTTCCCCTAGCCTCTCCAGTATTTATTATTTCTTGAATTCTTCAAGCTAGCCATTCTTTCCAGAGTAGGATGGAATCTCAGTGTTGTTTTAATTTGTATTTATCGACTGACCAGTGACTTTGAACATTTTTTCATGTATTTATTGGCCATTTGTACTTCTTCTGAGAAGTGTCTGTTCATTTCACTTGCCCATTTTTTGACTGGGTCTTTAAATTCAGAGAGTCCAATATTTTTTTTGAGTTCTTTATGTATTCCAATGTTAGTCCTCTGTCTGAGGAATAGCTGGCAAAATTTTTTTCCCATTATGTAGGTTTCTTTCAAGATTTAGCTTCCATGATTTCTCTTCTCTCTGTTGGTTGTTTGCTTTTCTGTGCAGAGGTTTTTAATTTGATATGTTCTCATTTGTTGATTCTTGGTATTATTTCTTGTACAACTGGAGTTCCATTCAAAAAGTCTTACACCTGTGTCTTGAAGAGTTTTACCTACAGTATTTTGGTATTGGTATTTTGATTGGGATTGTGTTAGATCTGTATAACAGTTTTGGAAGTATGGATGACCATTTTGCCCATAATGGTGTGGAATTATGGCCATTTGACTATATTGAGAATATCTTTGCATTTTCTATTATCTTCTTGGATCTCTTTTCTCAGAGTACTGTAGTTTTCATTGTAGAGGTCTTTTACTTCCTTGGTTAGGTTAATCCCTTAGTATTTAATCTTTTATTGATGCTATTGTGAGTTATTGTTTCCATAATTTCTCGAGCTTATTGGTGCACAGAAACGCTATTGATTTTTGAGTGTTGACTTTTTTTTTTTTTGGTACTAGGGCTTGAACTCAGGACCTTGTGCTTTCAAGGCAGGTGCCAGAACCACTGAGCTAAATCCCCAGTCCTGAGTGTTGACTTTGTATCCTGCTACACTAATGAGTTTGGTTATTAATTCTAAGATTTTTTTGGTGGAATTCTTTAGGTTGTCTGTGTACTGGATCATGTCATCTATAAAAAATGATAATTTTGGGCTGGGGATTAGCTCAGTGGTTCCACCACCTGCCCCACAAGTGCAAGGGCCCGAGTTCAATCCCCGGTACCAAAAGAAGAAAAAATAATAATAATGATAATTTGGCTTCTCCTTTCCTGCGCATATCCCTTTTATTTCTTTCTCCTGTGTGATTGCTTTGGCTAGTTTCAAGAACTATATTGAACAAGAATGATAGTGGGCATCCTTGTTGTGTTCCTGATTATAGAGGGAAAGCTTTCCACTTTTTCCCAATTTGATATGATGTTGACCATTGATTTGCTATAAATCACTTTTATCAGATTGAGAGATAAGGTCCTTCTATACCTATTTTCATCTAGTTTTTTTAAAACCATGAATGGATGTTGGATTTTGTCAAAGGCTTTTTCTGCATCAATTGAAATGCTCATGTGATTTTTGTTCTTGGTTTATGTGTTGTATTATATTTATTTATTTGTTTATTGATTTCTAGCTTCATCACACTATCATGAGAATTTTTATTCTTTTACATTTATTAAACTATGATTTATGGGCTAGCATGTGGTCTATTTTGGAGAAAGTCCCATGTGCTGCTGTGAAGAATGTGTGTTCTGTTGTTTGGTGGAACACATCTTTTAAGTCCATTTGTTCAAAGATTTGGTTCACCTCGTATTTCTTAGGTGTTTTTGTTTTTGTTT